TAGACAGAGTAACCCGGCAGGCGATTCTGCACTCCTTCTGAGTCCACGCTATACATATTTTAGCAGATTGGAGGTGAAATAGCCTGTACTATACATAGAACTATAGATATAGATAGAGTATAGCCGGACAATTCCAGCGGCAATATGAAACACTCAGTTAGATGAACGAATTCCCGTTCCCATTAAATGCATCGAAATATCCACCGGTGAATGCTCATGCTCATCTCTTCCATTACCATGCAATCCGCTCGCTGAAGTCACATAAATGATTGCAAGTGCTAGTATTTCGCAATGTTATACATTTTTCATACTCCCTTATTGAGCAATTTCCATCACTAACTGAAAGGTCAAAGTAAAAAAATGTCTGTGAATGTGTCGCATTACTGAAACTTTTCGATTTTGATTTTCCCTGAGTTTCCTGTTTCGGGCAATCTACATAAACAGTTAGCCCCCTTCCCCGCTCGACATCATTACATGCAAATGACGTATGTAGTGTTGAAGCTCTAGCCCTTCGACTGGACAACAACGGCAACGTTTCTCATAGGCCCTTATCAGTTGCTATCACCTTTTGTCACCCATCGTCGACATCCCCTTCTCAATCCAAATCGCTTGCTGGAATCAACGCCTATCTGATGCTGTGTCCTGCATTATGAATATGGTGGTCTTCCCATTCTGACTCCCTTTTTCAAATCTCAGCATACTTCAAAATACATGTCACCCTCCAAAGATGTTCCCGTTCCATACCCTTTATCTTGGAATCAGCACCTACTTGATGCTGTCACCCGCGCTATGAATATGGTGGCCATCCCCTTTAACGCCTCTTATCGAATCTTATCAGCTGATATCACTTCCTGTCACCCACCAATAGTGTTCCCGTCACACCCCTACATCACTTCTTGGAACCAATGTCTCACTGTTACTGGGACCGGCGCTATGAATTTCGTGACACACACGCGGACATAGCCGACTATATCTAGTAGGATCCTTTCAGCAGAAGACACTAGGACCATTCGCGCTTTGCTGACGCTGTACCTGGCCTGAAGGGATTCACCCCTCCTTTAACGCTCAACCCCAGCAGAGCGCCAAATTGCGCTGGTGTCAAAAAGTAAATGCCTTTTTTGTGATTAGGGTATCAATCAACGCTATTACGCGGGTTTTTATTCGATTTTTTGTGAAAACGGTGTTTCTACCAAATTGGCACATTTGGCGTGAAATGGCGCCACCGCCAAAATTAATGTCATATACGTGATCAGGACACCAAATAGCATTTATAGGCATAGTATCAGAGGAAAAATTTCCCGATTTTTCGGAATAGTTAAAGTGGGGAATAGTGCCAAAATCGCTTCTAATTGTCAGAGACTAGGAGTACTAAAACTTCCTCTTTGCTGAAGCTTATCTAGTTCTAGGTAAAAAGCGAGATGGGACGACGGGGGAGGCATTTTGCACTTCCGCTAATCCATTAGATCTGGTTCACCTGTCACACGCTCGTGGCACCTGTAAGCTCTTGCGAAGCCGGAGCGAGCTAGTAGAGCCACCATGGTAAAAAATGTCAACTCAAGAAAAATCTATCTAGATGGGCCGACAAAGCCGTTCTCTGCTTTTTTGTTAAAGCGCGCAAAAAGTGGTGGAAAACGAGTAATACGAACGATATGATACAGCATTGTCACTTGCTCGCTTCAACAACTGGTGGAGAACGAGTTTGGCACCGCGCCAAACGCAGCCGCACTGACACGCCCAACCGTCCGCAGAGAACTACACTATAAGTTGAAGGTTTCCGCCGATCATGCTCCAGCTCTAATCACAACTGGAATTACGGTAACACTCATTTCACTCAGCTCCAAATCTCTCTTTATTGAGAGACAGTGCGATGAACTACTTTGCAAAGATGCGGAATAGCATAGCGTTTGTACAAGCTTTTTCCGAAAACAAGCGAAGAAACCAAAAGGTGCAAAGTCGGCAGCAGTTTCAGGACAGCCTAACAACTAATATGC